CCTTTGGAGGAGTAAAATTTATGTATATAACTAGGTTTTAAAATTGTTGAATAATGTGGCATTTGGAGTGTGCAACTTAATAGGTAATCAAATTTATTTGAGCTGTGTCCTCATTTGAAAATTAAAATGTAAATTTAGACCTTTAATTTGAGTGGACCTGGACATAGAACATGCTTTTGATATATTTAGAGGCATCTATTTAACTCACATTATCCTGATAAACATTTTCCCTAATCACCTATATGCATTAAAAGAACCTGTGAATTAGTAAGTTTAAAAATGTACATTAAGGATTATATAGTCAATAGGTATTTTTATGCTTTGTAGAACACATGGGTTCCTGTACCATGTTCAATTTAGAGAGACTCTTTCAGCATTATCACTTCTCATTATTATGAATATACTGAAAATTTCACAGATTGGAATGCCAAGATCACTCATTAGCTATTGGACTTATATTTGCTTAACACTATGTGATTTTTAGCGTTTCTTCCTTTTGGTAGCTCTGAGCAACACCTTTTAAAGTATAATTTTAATTTCCGTATACTTTAAACTTTGGAAATTTTTTCCCCAGTGTGAATATTATATTATGTAGCCTTGATACTAAAGTACTAATACTCTTGGCCATATCATCAGTATTACTGACATGAGTCCATGTATGTGGGGTTAACTGAAAATTTTAAAATGTAATCCTGTTAATCTAGGGGTATGAAAGTGAGATTTGCTCTCAGGAAACAAGGGATTTTTGTATACTGATTCATCTAAAGTTTACAAAGTCTATCACTAAGGGAAAAAAAACGACGAAGTATTAACTGCAAAAATGTTGACGTCTGCATTGAAGATATAATGCTTTATGGTAACAACTAAGTTATTGTAATTTCCGTCACGCCTCAAGGTGTTATAAATCATAATGTCAATGAACTAAAGGTTTCATAATTCTCTCAACATAAATATTAACGAGTTCCAGATGAGTAGGCAAGTGGATATTTGTAAGAATATTTAAGTGATTTGATTTAGAGCAGTCAATGAGCTCATAAAAGCACAGAAGATAACTGAAGGTAAACAGCATGAAACAGATATAATTTAACACTGGGTTCTCTAGATGTTTGAAAGATGTGCACAGCCTATAGGTTAAGAATAAACGCTGCCTCAGGAAAAGGAAGAGGCATTAGTCAAAGAGTTCATGTAGACAAAATGAGTAAGTCCCAGAGATCTGCTTTACAGCATAGTTCCTAGAGTTGACAATACTGTACTGTATACCTAAAATTTTTCTAAGAAGGTAGATCTTATATTAAGTGTTCTTATCATAAACACCAACAAAAATAATAACACAAGACAACTTTTGAAGGTGATGAATATGCTTATAGCATAGATTGTGGTGATGGTTTCATGAATGGATACTTATCTCCAAATTCATAAAGTTGTATACATAAATATGTATAATTTATTTTATTTTTCTTTTATATTGGAGTATAGTTGATTTACAATGTTGTGTTAGTATCAGGTGTACAGCAAAGTGATTCAGTTACACATATATCTATTCTTTTCCAAATTCTTTTCCCATTTAGATTATTACAGAATATTAAGTAGAGTTCCCTGTGCTGTACAGTAGGTCCTTGCTGGTTATCTATTTTAAGTATAATTTTTAATAAATCAATCATACCTCAATACAGTAATTTTTTATAAGGAATGAATGCTGAGTTGGCACATATTACAAGTCCATGTCAGCTGGTATATTAAATGGCCCGATGAATTAAACCCAAATATAATAATAAATTTTCTTACCAGATATATTTTGTTTATGCATGGGAGGAAGGGTAATTTAAATATTTTTCAAATAAGATAATATTTTTGTCTTTTTTATTCCTTATATATAATTTCTATTCAAGATAAAGATAGTAATATATTTTTCCATAAAAGTTGGGGGTTTTTTCACTCACATCTTTCTGGGTGAATTAAAGGATTATAATTTATGTCCAAATTTTATAGCTGAATATTTTTTAAGAGCAGAAAAACTGAGGGACCCAATAAATACTACCTACTTTTTAAAAAATGGCCTTGAGAGGAAATCAAGCATAGTTTCATGGTGACTGAACAAGAAAAAAACTGAACTTGGGCTTTTTACTCTTTAGAATGCATTAATATGTTCAATTACTGAGGACACTGAATATCTCATGTTCACTCCTCCTCAAATCCTTAGGGAGAATCTACAAATGTTCACTTAAAAAATATAATAGAATATGAATTGAAGAGTACAGAGAGTTGTACCATGGTCCATTTATACTACCATTTATTTTCCCAGCAAACATATAGTGCTTCATGTTGGGACAGGATAAGTTCAATAAAGGTCCTGCACTCCAGGAATTACTATACAGTCCTTTAACATTTTACAGTGAGTTGCTCTTTATAATTCAACTGATGTTGACCTCAGACATCTTTGAATCCAGGACACTGCATAAACATTCCTGGCACTTCCATGCCATGTCAGGAGCAAAGGGGGTGTGACACAAATTCATGGTTAACAAACCTTGTATTAATAGTCTTTTAACAGATATGACCAGAATTAGTGCCACTTGACTAATGCCTAGACAAAATATAATGGAGGCCCATAAGAAAACAAATCTTAGTAATTTAAAATAAAGCAATGTTTTTATACATGTGAGTGTGACTATATAAAATTAATACTCACATCTCACGTTATAGTGAACCCAGGATTAAGGTTCTTAGCATACCGTGCCATACTGGCATCTGCTGATAGAAAGTTGTAACAACACACAATTCAGTAACCTGTCATACTACGATGAAAGGATAATCCTCCCTTTTTATAAAATTACCCAGAAATAATTTTAAAAACTGGAAGGGTATTAAGAACATGGAAAATACATTTCTTAGGTATGATTAATGGGGGAAAAAAAGGTTTGATTTAAGAAATGAAAGAAGCCAAGAGAAAGAAAAACACAAATCAAGATGAAAATATTAGATTTTTTTCATGGTTTTCTATTGAGACAAATTTCTCATCAAAATATTATATAGAGAGCAAAATTATTGAGGTATTTATTTACAAGAAGCATTATCTCAAGAATTTTGTAATAGTGTCCTATTGCTGTTATAACGAATTATTAAAAATTTAGTGGCTAAAACAATACAAATTTACTCTCAAATCTGGAGGTCAGAAGTCTGAACGGGGCTGTACTGGGTTCAAATCAAAGTGTTCATTCTGAAGGCTCTAGGAAACAGTCTGTTTTTCTTGCCTTATCCAAATTCTAGAGGCCACCTGCATTCCTCGGCTCCCAGCCCCACATCACTCAGATCTCTGCTTCCATTAATCACATCTCCTCTGATTCTGACTCTTCTGCCTCCCTTTTTTCTTAAAAGAACCCTTGTGCTTATACTGAACCTATTCAGATAATGCTGAATAATATCCCATCTCAGGATCCTGAATGTAATCAAATTTACAAAATCTCTTTTGCCATGTAAGATAACATATCCACAGATGCTAAAGATTAGAAATGGACATGTTTTGGGGAACCATTATTCTGCCAACTACAAGAGGCATAATAATGGCACTGCTTATTATAGGAAAACAAGGTTCTACCCTAGAGTACTGTACATGGAAAAAATGCTAGATCCAAGCTCTGGCTCTGCTAGTACCACTGTGACACATTCTATAGTCACTAATTCTGAGTTTCCTTTTCCTAAACAATATAAATAAGAGTCAGAATGCTTCCTTTGACTATTTCCCAGGAATGTCCTAAAAACCAAATGAAGTAATAGCACTCTGCAAAGTAAAGTATAGCATAATTTATAAAAAGGGGAGGGGGTTGTAGTCTGAACTGCAACACTAATATATCTATGCCTCTTTTTCAAATGTAGTTTGGGGCTAGAGTTAATAGATTATTACTGAGTCCATCCAGCTGTAAAGTTCTCCCTTTTAAAAATACAATTAAGAAGGACCTTTTTTGATACACTCTACATGTTTAAAACAATTTAGAATTATTCCAGGCCAAATTTATATTACTGTTATGATTGAACATTCCAGGCCAAATTTATATTACTGTTATGATTACACATTTTACATCTGTGACTGAACACAATCAGAAAGAGAGAACCTACTATCTTCACTTCATCTTTGGTCTTGTCTGAATGGTAATCTACCTTCCTGGAGCATTTTCATGGATATGGTGATATGCCTATTTTTTTTTAATTTCTCATGGAAACTGGTTGTACTATCGTTTTTCCAGGCATCTTATAAACTTCCTGAAGACAGAAGATTTTGCTCAAAACGATAAGTTTCAATAACTGAAATGGAAATAGAACCCTAATTAATCATGTCATTACTTTTTGTGGCAACTGAATTTTTTATCCATCCCATTTATGTGCACAACTGGTTTAATAGCTTTTTACTGAATAGGTGTTTTGAACTAATTGACTGCAGGGTCTAATAATCAAACCAATGCTGCATGGAGATGTGGAGTAAGTATCTCCTCTTATGGAATTTAACTGGTCATTAGCCTGCTTTATGAAAGTCTTAACTAACTCCTGCTGACCTTCACCCTCTACTGTACCTTTTGGGTCATTCTTCAGAGATGAAAAAGGTTACTCTAGCAAATGAGATCATTGGGAAGATTAGTAACAGTTCCTCCTCTAATTGTTACCTGTTTATTTAATAGGTCTTGATTTGAAAAATTTGTTTCACTCTACTATCACTGTTATGGTCATTGATAAACCCATATTTTATTCATATAATCCCTGAATTTCATTTCAAGGATTTAGGAATCTCTAAAGTTACTTTTGTGACAAATATTAACCTTTCTTTTAGAATGTTTTCACAAATAATTTGGACATTCTATTTTGTGAAAATTGTAGACTCACGTGTACTTGTAGGAACTAACACAGAAAGATCCCACATAGTACTGCCCAGTTTCCTGAACTAGAAACGTATTGTATAAGCACAGTATAATATCATAGCCAGAATAGTCACATTGATACAATCTACTTACTTGATTCACGTTTCACCAGTTTTAAAGGTATTTTGTGTGTGTTTGTTTAGTTCTTTGCTTTTTTTTTACACGTGCACATTTGTGTGCTCACTACAGAACAGGCTCATCCCTTTTCCAGTACCCAGGGCCATCCTCCCCACAGGCATCTTCTTGTTCTCTTTCTTCCTCCTCCTCGTTTTGCTCCTTTTTTGACACAGTTGCCAGTGGAAAAAGAAAAATATTTTCAATAAATAGTGCTGGAAAAAATGGATACCCACATGAAAAAAAGAAGAAAAAGAAAAAGCTTAACCCTTATTTCACAAATTAACTTTAAGTGGATCATAGACCAAAGTAGTAGAGCCAAACTTTTAAGCTTCTAGAAGAAAAATGGTTTCAAAATCTACCTTTTATTACCTAAATAAATTTCAGATTCTAAGTGTAAAATATAAAACTTCAATATTGCAAAAGAAAATATGCTTATAAGGAAGATCCATTTAAAATCCATTTAAAAAGCTACAAGATGAAGGAATCATAAAGGAACAGACTAATGCATTTAATTACATAATATTAAACAAATTAAAAAAACTAGGGACAAATCACAAAAGAGTACATAAAAATTAATCTCAAATGTGATCTGAAGAGTAAAATCAAATGAATTTATTTATTTCTTCCACCACACTACAAAATGAAGAAAAATAGATACATTTGATATATCTGATCAGAATTGGTCAAATTGGAAAATGCTCATGAACACTGGTGCAACATTTTTGGAAAACACTATCACAATATATATTTATGTTTAAATGCATATAAACTCAGAAATGCTTCCTTAAGATATCTTGGAAAGTCTGCACACAAAGAATAATACATTCCATTTTTATAATATTTTTTTAAAAAACCTTGGAGATTGACTAAACATCCACTCGCAGAATTGTTCATTAAATTGTGGTACAAAAATATCATAGTACATGGTTAAAAATAGACTATAATTAAATAGATTCATATAGATGACAAAATTCTCCAAGTCATATTTTTTCAAAATACAATTCATAGAAAATTCGTATGGTCTGGTTCCAGTTATAAAGAAAATCATACCATCACAAAAGTACAAGTTCTTTCATCAATACTCATTTACAGTACCACTGAAATGATTAATAGCTATGTGTATTTATTAAACTGTACTTACCAAGTTTTTAATATAGATAGACATATAGATACACCATCCTGTAACATTGACTTTTTGAGAAGTAAAATGACAGTGCTGAAGGGAACAGGCTTTTCATGTACATCACTGGCAATCCATTATAACCTTTTCTTGAATTTATTTTTAAAGAGTTACACTGTAAGAGTTATAAAGGGAGTATAATCCTAAGAGATAAAGAAAACCATACATACTGCCTGAATTTTTACCAACATTTTATGAATATATGGCAAAAGCACTTGATATACAATGGGGAAAGCATGTTTATATGTGAAAGACAAGAAAGATAACTTGAAAATCACAAATTAGAATTTAAAGGAATGCAAATTTAACATCCACTATGGTGTTTTGTTCAAGAACGCCATTTCGGGTGATGAAGCATTTTCAAACATGGTTAGGCTTTTAATATACAACAAGAATTTGATTTCACTCTTCATCTTGCTTATAATATCTCTGCCTGAAGGCTACAAAAAAGCATCCTACTTTAGAGTCTTGAATAAAAATGATAAACACAAGATATTAAAACTCAAAGAGATGAGAAATTTCTATAAAATTGACTCTAATCAAAAGGGAAATTGTTCTTTAGTCAGCTTACCAGATAAGTCCTGAATTTGGGAATAGGCTTTAGCAGGCTTAATAATGTCAATGCATTTCATATTGCCTCCTTATAAGAGGAGAAATTGCCATTAAAAGCTCTAGAAAGGAAATCGAGCAGATGCTCACTCAACTCCTGATTTTAAGAAAATGCTTATTTAAAAGTGTATTTAACACCTTTTTATTTTCATTGGTAAAAAGCATACCTTTTACAAATATTTCATTATCACCGGCTGCCTTCTTGCTCCCCAGGAAAGGTAAACCTTAATGAGATATTCTTACATAACAATAAAGGTTCTTAAAAGAAAATTAGAAAGCTTGCTCCCGAAGGGATTTACAGATTAATTCACCCAATCACTTCATAATATAAGGGAGGAAATTAAAGAAATATTTTCTAGAAATGGAAAGAATTGCTTTTCTTCTACATGGTAACTATGCAGGGATCCTTGACCAGCTTCTCCCAGTGTGATTTATTCTTAGGTTTTTGTACCTGTGACTCACTACTCACTCATGAAGGACAGGTAAGCATCATGGAGAGAATGTTTGGGGGCTGGAAAACATACAGATCATATTCAAGGCAGAATATGGCTCTCCAGCTCTTTTTGGTTTTTGCTTTTCTTTTGCTAAGGTTTGAGAAGAAGAAAGCATAGGATATTTACGATTTACCTAAGATTAATAGCCCCTCCCTGTGTACAGACATACTGAAAGCAGTTTACACAGAATCCAGGGACAACCCACTCCACACACACAGCTAGTTAGGAGGGAAAATGCAAAAATGAATAAAAGTGAGGGCAGAGAGGAGGTACCTATTTCACAAATAACCTTAATAATCTCTATTATACACTAAACGATATCCATTGTACTAGATTCTATGTGGTTATAAAACCACTTTTTCCCTTGGGATCATTAAGCCTTTTGGGTTCATCACATAATTTTGAGGTTCTATGGTTACCAATATTTATGTCCCAAATTGGCATTTGAAAAGCAAATATTATAATTAAGACATTTTTTCCAATTATATTGAGCAGTCTAAAGTATTAAATAGGACTGCGTCATTTGTTATCCCTGTGACTGTTGTTCTAATCAGTCATTCAGATCCATGGGAAATTGTCTTTCTTGAGACAGAGCAATGGTTTGTTGACATGAAAAAAAGGCAACTAAATATGCTAGGTATGATACCCACAACTCAATTGCAAGCCAATCTCCTACACACCATAAAATTGCAACTTGAGAAAGTCATTGGTGAACCATATTAATAAAAGTTACAGAAAACCTCACATACAACCAGAGTATAAAGAAATATAATGGAACTATGTATTTTTGTCAAAATACAAAGTCTGTGGCCATCTTAAATTAACAACAACAAAAAAACGGATTGAAAAGTACTACTCTTAGGGGAACCACTGACTGAAACTGCCCACCCTGGCCAGGTAACCATTTGCATGAGTTGTTTTATGACAGGAGGTCCTGGTAAGGAACATGGAACTAAGAAGCCACCACCAACTAGAATTCAGGAAAGGTCAAAAGGGAACGCCAGTCCATATGTCCTACCAACCTCCCAGAATCCTCCTCACTGGAACCCATCTTGGCTGAGTGATGCCCACGCCACCAGGAAGGACCCTGAGTCAGAATGATTGGCCAGAGACAACCGGGAAACTAATCCCATCACCATAAAACCTGAGACTGCAAGCCATGTGGCAGAGCAGTTCTCCTGGGTTCCCTTTCCCTCCTACTCTCCACCCGGGTGCCCCTTCCCAATAGTCTCTTGCTTTGTCAGCATGTGTGTCTCCTCGGACAATTCATTTCCAAGTGTTAGAAAAGAGCCCACTCTCGGGCCCTGGAAGGGGTCCCCCTTCCTGCAACACTACTTCTTACTAACTTAAGCAGTTCCCAGGAAATGGACTTAATTCCTAAACTCAGGCAAAGAGAAATGCACAATGAAGCTAACAGAAATGTCTCGACCAATAATTTAGGAGAATTCTATTAGACCTGGACCCTTTATTCCACCACAGACAAATAAGAAGTTCTGACTGTACCAAATTGCCATTTATCAGGCTGAAAAAATCACCATCTGCTGCAATGTTCTCCACCAAAAGGCACTTTGGCCTGAGTAAAATGTGAGTATAGAATACAACACACAGAGTTGCTAGAATTGAAAACAAACTTTCCCTACACAAGGAAAACTCCTGCTGTGGGAAAGTGCTATTTATTTCTGATCCAAAAATATCCTTTCCAGACAGTGTGGAAAGACTCATGTATACTTAAGATTTTGACTACTAAGGTAATTTGAATATATATAAGTATGTAAAACCACAGACTTTGCTTAAAAAAAAAGAAAAGAAAAAAAAGCTACCAGATAAAGGAAACTCATTATCAGAGGAATGCTTATTCCAGGAACCACTGGCCTGAGTTACCTGATGCATTAAATGAGGGAGGTCTTTCAAGTCCAGAGTGGGGCAGGCTATGGTCGAGTCACACAGCTTGCTGTGGTGAAAAACATCTTCCTCTGCTTCCTTCCAAGGAGTGAAAATTGGCTGGTGACTGTTGAGAGGTAGCAATCTTCCCTCTGCGGAAGTCCCTGTAGGAAAGGGAATAACGAGGTAGCTTTGGAAAGGACACAGGATTTAGCTACACTTATATCCTCCTTTCTCTGCCCTAGCAATTTCAATTTGAATTCACTTTGACTCAAGTTTAGCCAATATTTTTGTTTCACTATCATAAGCAAGTTGATATGCCAGTTTCAGGTAATGAGCAAACAAACAAGACAATATTCTCAAAGCTTTCAGTTTATTAGTAATAATGACGAGTTCAAAAACTAATGTATCTCGAGGAGGAACCAAGATGGCAGAGTAGAAGGATGTGCTCTCACTCCCTCTTGTGAGAACACCAGAATCACAACTAGCTGCTGGACAGTCATCGACAGGAAGACACTGTAACTGACCAAAAAAGATACCCCACATCCAAAGACAAAGGAGAAGCCACAATGAGACGGTACGAGGGGCGCAATCACAGTAAAATCAAACCCCATAACTGGTGGGTGAGTGACTCACAGACTGGCAAACCCTTATACCACAGAAGTCCACCCACTGGATTGAAGGTTCTGAGCCCCACATCAGGCTTCCCAACCTGGGGGGCCGGCAACGAGAGGAGGAATTCCTAGAGACTCAGACTTTGAAGCCTAGTGGGAATTGATTGCAGGACTTCGATAGGACTGGAGGAAACAGAGATTCCACTCTTGGAGGGCACACACAAAGTAGTGTGTGCATCGGGACCCAGGGGAAGGAGCAGTGACCCCACAGGAGACTGAACCAGACCTACCTGCTAATGTTGGAGGGTCCCGTGCAGAGGCGGGGGGTGGCTCTGTTTCACCGTGGGGACAGGGACGCTGGTGACAAAAGTTCTGGGACGTACTCCTTGGCGTGAGCCCTCTCAGAGTCTGTCATTAGCCCCAACAAAGAGCCCAGGTAGGCTCTAGTGTTGGGTTGCCTCAGGCCAAACAACCAGCAGGGAGGGAACCCAGCCACACCCATCAACAGTCAAGTAGATTAAAGTTTTACTGAGCTCTGCTCACCAGAGCAACAGTCAGCTCTACCCACCACCAGTCCCTCCCATCAGGAAACTTGCACAAGCCTCTTAGATGGCCTCATCCACCAGAGGACAGACAGCAGAAGCAAGAAGAGCTACAATCCTGCAGCCTGTGGAACAAAAACCACATTCACAGAAAGATAGACAAGATGAAAAGGCAGATGGCTATGTACCAGATGAAGGAACAAGATAAAACCCCAGAAAAACAATTAAATGAAGTGGAGATAGGCAACCTTCCAGATAAAGAATTTAGAATAATGATACTGAAGATGGTCCAGAACCTCAGAAAAAGAATGTAGGCAAAGATCGAGAAGATTCAAGAAATGTTTAACAAAGACCTAGAAGAATTAAAGAACAAACAACCAGAGATGAGCAATACAATAACTGAAATGAAAACTGCACTAGAAGGAATCAATAGCAGAATAACTGAGGCAGAAGAATGGATAAGTGACCTGGAGGACAGAATGGTGGAATTCACTGCTGTGGAACAGACTAAAGAAAAAAGAATGAAAAGAAATGAAGACAGCCTGAGCGACCTCTGGGACAACATGAAATGCAACAACATTCGCATTATAGGGGTCCCAGAAGGAGAAGATAAAGGACCCGAGAAAATATTTGAAGAGATTATCGAAACTTCGATAACTTCCCTAACATGGCAAAGGAAAGAGCCACCCAAGTCCAGGAAGTGCAGAGTCCCATACAGGATAAACCCAAGGAGAAACACGCTGAGACACATAGTAATCAAACTGGCAAAAATTAAAGACAAAGAAAACTTATTGAAAGCAGCAAGGGAAAAATGACAAATAACATACAAGGGAACTCCCATAAGGTTACCAGCTGATTTCTCAGCAGAAACTCTACAAGCCAGAAGGGAGTGGCATGATATACTTAAAGTGATGAAAGGGAAGAGCTTACAATCAAGATTACTCTACCCGGCAAGGATCTCATTCAGATTCGATGGAGAAATCAAAAGCTTTACAGACAAGCAAAAGCTAAGAGAATTCAGCACCACCAAACCAGCTTTACAACAAATGCTAAAGGAACTTCTCTAAGTGGGAAACACAAGAGAAGAAAAGGACCCACAAAAACAAACCCAAAACAACTAAGAAAAAGGTCATAGGAACATACATATCAATAATTACCTTAAACGCGAATGGATTAAATGCTCCAACCAGGGGATTCCCTGGTGGCGCAGTGGTTGAGAGTCTGCCTGCTAATGCAGGGGACAAGGGTTTGAGCCCTTGTCTGGGAGGATCCCACATGCCACGGAGCAACTAGGCCTGTGAGCCACAATTACTGAGCTTGCGCGTCTGGAGCCTGTGCTCTGCAACAAGAGGCCGCGATAGTGAGAGGCCCATGCACCGTGATGAAGAGTGGCCCCCGCTTGCCACAACTCGAGAAAGCCCTCGCACAGAAACGATGACCCAACACAGCAAAAATTAATTAATTAATTAATTAACTTCTACCCCCAACATCTTAAAAAAAAAAAATGCTCCAAACAAATACACAGTCTTGTTCAATGGATACAAAAACAAGATCCATCTATATGCTGTCTACAAGAGACCCAATTCAGACCTAGGGACACATACAGACTGAAAGTGAGGGGATGGAAAAAGATATTCCAAGCAAATGGAAATCAAAAGAAAGCTGGAGTAGCTATACTCATATCAGATAAAATAGACTTTAAAATAAAGAATGTTACAAGAGACAAGGAAGGACACTACATAATGATCAATGGATCAATCAAAGAAGAAGATATAACAATTATAAATATATATGCACCCAACACAGGAGCACCTCAGTACATAAGGCAAGTACAAACAGCTATAAAAGAGGAAATCAACAGTAACACAGTAATAGTGGGGGACTTTAACACCTCACTTACACCAATGGACAGATCATTCAAAATGAAAATAAATAAGGAAACATAAACTTTAAATGAAACAATAGACCAGATAGATTTAATTGATATTTATATGACATTCTGTCCAAAAACAGCAGACTACACTTTCTTCTCAAGTGTGCATGGAACATTCTCCAGGATAGATCACATCTTGGGTCACAAATCAAGCCTCAGTAAATTTAAGAAAATTGAAATCATATCAAGCATCTCTTCTGACCACAATGCTATTAGATTAGAAATGAATTACAGGGAAAAAAACATAAAACACACAAACACATGGAGGCTAAACAATACATTACTAAATAACCAAGAGATCACTGAAGAAATCAAAGAGGAAATCAAAAAATACCTAGAGACAAATCACAATGAAAACATGACGATCCAAAACCTATGGGATGCAGCAAAAGCAGTTCTAAGAGAGAAGTTTATAGCTATACAAGCCTACCTCAAGTAACAAGAAAAATCTCAAGTAAACAATCTAACCTTACACCTAAAGGAACCAGAGAAAGAAGAACAAACAAAACCAAAAGTTACCAGAAGGAAAGAAATCATAAAGATCAGAGCACAAATAAATGAAATAGAAACAAAGAAAACAATAGCAAAAATCAATAAAACTAAAAGCTGTTTCTTTGAGAAGATAAACAAAATTGATAAACCATTAGCCAGACTCATCAAGAAAAAGAGGGAGAGGACTCAAATCATAAAATTAGAAGTGAAAAAAAGAAGTTACAACAGACACCACTGAAATACAAAGCATCCTAAGAGACTACTACAAGCAACTCTATGCCAATAAAATGGACAACCTGCAAGAAATGGACAAATTCTTAGAAAGGTATAACCTTCCAACACTGAACCAGGAAGAAATAGAAAATGTGAACAGACCCATCACAAGTAATGAAATAGAAACTGTGATTAAAAATCTTCCAACAAACAGAAGTCCAGGACCAGATGGATTCACAGGTGAATTCCATCAAACATTTAGAGAAGAGCTAACACCCATCCTTCTCAAACTCTTCCAAAAAACTGCAGAGGAAGGAACATTCCCAGACTCATTCTATGAGGCCACCATCACCCTGATACCAAAACCACACAAAGATACTACAGAAAAAGAAAATTACAGACCAATATCACTGATGAATATAGATGCAAAATCCTCAACAAAATACTAGCAAACAGAATCCAACAACACATTAAATGGATCATACACCACGATCAAGTGGGATTTATCCCAGGGATGCAAGGATTCTTCAGTATATGCAAATCAATCAATCTGATACACCATATTAACAAATTGAAGAAAAAACCCATATGATCATCTCATTAGATGCAGAAAAATCTTTTGACAAAATTCAAAACCCATTTATGATAAAAACTCTCCAGAAAGTGGGCATAGAGGGAACCTACCTCAACATAATAAAGGCCATATATGACAAACCCACAGCCAACATCATTCTCAATGGTGAAAAACTGAAAGCATTTCCTCTAAGATCAGGAACAAGACAAGGATGTCCACTCTGACCACTATTATTCAACATACATTTGGAAGTGCTAGCCACGGCCATCAGAGAAGAAAAAGAAATAAAAGGACTACAAATTGGAAAAGAAGAAGTAAAACTGTCACTGTTTGCAGATGACATGATACTATACATAGAGAATCCTAAGAATGCCACCAGAAAACTACTAAAGCTAATCAATGAATTTGGTAAAGTTGCAAGATATAAAATTAATGCACAGAAATCTCTTGCATTCCTATACACTAATGATGAAAAGTCTGAAAGAGAAATTATGGAAACACTCCCATTTACCATTGCAACAAAAGAATAAAATACCTAGGAATAAACCTACCTAAGGAGACAAAAGACCTGTATGCAGAAAACTATAAGACACTGATGAAAGTAATTAAAGATGATACCAACAGATAGAGAGATATATCATGTTCTTGGATTGGAAGAATCAATATTGTGAAAATGACTCTACTACCCAAAGCAATCTAGAGATTCAATGCAAGCCCTATCAAATTACCAATGGCATGTTTTACAGAACTAAAACAAATCATCTTAAAATTTGTATGGAGACACAAAAGACCCCGAATAGCCAAAGCAGTCTTGAGGGAAAAAAATGGAGCTGGAGGAATCAGACTCCCTGACTTCAGACTATACTACAAAGCTATAGTAATCAAGATAATATGGTACTGGCACAAAAACAGAAACACAGATCAATGGAACAAGATAGAAAGCCCAGAGATAAACCCACACACCTATGGTCAACTAATTTATGACAAAGGAAGCTAGGATATACAATGGAGAAAAGACAGTCTCTTCGATAAATGGTGCTGGGAAAACTGGACAGCTTCATGTAAAAGAATGAAATTAGAACACCCCCTAACACCATACACAAAAATAAACTCAAAATGGATTCGAGACCTAAATGTATGACCAGACACTATAAAACTCTTAGAGGAAAACATGGGAAGAACACTCTTTGACATAAATCACAGCAAGATCTTTTGTGATCCACCTCCTAGAGTAATGGAAATAAAAAATAAAATAAACAAATGGGACCTAATGAAACTTTAAAGATATTGCACAGCAAAGGAAACCATCAACAAGATAAAAAGTCAACCCTCAGAATGGGAGAAACTATTTGCAAATGAATCAACAGACAAAGGATTTATCTCCAAAATATATAAACAGCTCATGCAGCTGAATATTAAAGAAACAAACAACCCAATCCAAAAATGGGCAGAAGATCTAAATAGACATTTCTCCAAAGAAGACATACAGATGGCCAATAAGCACATGAAAAGCTGCTCAACATCACTAATTATTAGAGAAATGCAAATCAAAACTACAATGAGGTATCACCTCACACCAGTTAGAATGGGCATCATCAGAAAATCTACAAACAACAAATGCTGGAGAGGGTGTGGAGAAAAGGGAACCCTCTTGCA